AGCCACAGGCGCCGAGCCTACTGACAATTTTTTTAACTCGAATTTTACATATCTAAATTTTGTCAAAAATAGTAATTTTTCTCTAAAATTTGGTCAAAAAGAACTTTTTCAGGGTCAATTTTTGTTATTAATATTACCAAATATGGCTAGTTATTTTGGCTTATGATTGTAATCCTAGCACTCTGTGAGAGTAAGGCAGGTGGATTGCTCAAGTTCAAGAGCTTCAGACCAGACTGAGAAAGAGCAAGACCCTGTGTCTCTACTAAAAACAGAAAAACTAGCCAGGCATGGTGGCACACACCTGTAGTCCCAGCTACTCAAGAAGCTGAGGCAAGAGGATTGCTTGAGCCTGAGAGTTTGAGGTTGCTGTGAGCTACGATGATGCCACAGGACTCTACTCAGGGCAACAGAGTAAGATTTTGTCTCAAAAAAAAAAAAAAAGAAAAAAAAATTACCAAATATATGTGATTCTAAAATCAGATCTTTTTTCTTTTTTTAGCTATGGTTTGTTTTATATATACTCTTGCTACTATTACCTTTTTAGTTTAAAAATTGTATCTACTTTTAAATCAAAGCCCTTATTAGGTGGTAGGTGTAATATCTAGAGATAAAAAAAAAACAGAGTTAAAAGTAAAAAAATCTTTGAGATTAAGTCTTTGACAGCTAAATGCCTTTCATTCTCTAAGGCAAAAGGCCATCGGGTTCAAAATAGTAAGGTAAAAGTTTGGTTTTGCTTAGCTGAAAGTGTAAATAATACCTAGTCATCTGTTTGCGTTTTGAAAACCATGACCAGAACTTCTAAGATCAGATACTTAAATGCCCATAAGTCAGATGGTGACTGTGATAAAATGGACAACACAGGTCCCATCTAAAGGGCACAGCCCCTAAAACACCAACCAATTGACATAATACTACCTGTCATAAAAATTTTCTCATTCTTTCCCCCCAAGAAATGCCAAAAATCCAATTTCTCAGCTGAAATCTCTTGAATTTTAAATGTTGGCAATTCATTCATTTATTATTTTTATCAATATTGTGCAGGCTATACAAGATGGCACTCTGGAAGGAAGCCCCCCCACACCCCCAATTTATGACCTCTAGTGTAGATATTTATTAGATCCAGGTATTCAGAAACAATACATATGACATTTATCTTGAGCAGCAGATGAGAGACAGAATAACAACAACAAAAAACATGGAATAACATCAGCAATGCAAGTGTTATGGCTGAATTGTGTCCCCTAAAATTCACATGCTAAAGTCCTAATACTCAGTACCTCAGAATGTGACCTTATTTGAAAATACGGTTGCTGTGTATGTAATAAGTCAAATGAAAATGAGATCATTAGTGTGGGCTTAACCTAATATAATAGATATTCTTATAAAAAAGGGGGGGAGGAATTTTGCCTGGACAAGTGCATAACAAAAACACCATGTGAAGATTAAGGCAGACATTAAAGTGATTCTTCTACACACCTAGGAATACCAAATACTTCCAGAAAACCACCAGAAGCTATGGGAGATGCATGGAGCAAATTCTTCCTCATGGTCCTCGGAAGGAACAAACCCTACCAGTGCTTTGATCTGAGACTTCTAGCCTCCATAATTATGAAACAATAAATGTATGTTCTGTAAGCCACTCAGGTTGTGATGCTTTGTTACAGCAGCCCTAGCAAATTAATTGGGTTAGGCTGGTTTAATATCTGAAAATCAATTAATGTAATATACCATATAAAATAAGATAAAGGGCAAAAACATATTATCATCTCAATAAATGCAGGAAAAAGCATTTGATAAAACTCAACACCTGCTAATGGTAAAACAAAAATACCCTCAACCAATGAGGAATAGAAACGAGTTTCCTCAAACTGATAAAGGGTATCTATGAAAAAACACAGGTAATCTACTTAATCATAAAATACTGTATGCTCTCCCCATAAGAGGATGTCTGCTCTCACCACTTCTATTCAACATTGTACTGCAGGTTTAAGGCAGAGCAGTTAGGCAAGGAAAATAACTAAAAGACATCCAAATTGAAAAGAAAGAAGTAAAGCTATCTCCATTTTCAGTAAAAGATCTACTTTAAAAACTACTAGTACTAATAAATGAGTTCAGTAAGGTTGCAGGATACAACATCAGTATACAAAAATAAAATGTATTTCTATAATTTGCCATGAAAAATCTGAAAATAAAATTAAGAAAATGATTCTATTAACAATAAAAAGAATAAAATACTTAGGAAAAAATTTAACAAAATAAATGTAGAATTTACACCTGAAAAGTTCAAAATGATATTGAAAAAAATTAAAGACCTAAATAAATGGAAAGCCAGCTTATGTTCACTGATCAGAAGACTTAACAGTATTAAGATGACAGTACTACTCCCAAAAATGATCTTCAGATATAATGTAATCCCTATCACAATCTTAGCTGGCTTCTGATCCTAACTGATCCTAAAATTTGTACAGAAATTCATGGGATACAGAATAGACAAACCATCCTAAAAAAGAACAAGGTTGGAGACTCACACTTTTCTGAATTCAAAATTTACTACAAAGCATCAACAATCAAGACAATGTGGTACTGGCAAAAGGACAGACATATAGATCAATGAAGTAGAATCAAGAATCCAAAAATAAGCCTTTATATATGTTCAATTGATTTTTGACAAATGTGCCAAGACCATTTAATTGGGAAAGAATAGTTTTTTTTAACTATGCTGGGGCAACTGGATATACACATACAAAAGAATAAAGGTAGACCTCCTAGCTTACACCATATACCACTAATAGTTCAAAATTAATTAAATACCTAAATGTAAGAGATAAAACTCTCAGAAGAAAAAAAGTAGGCATAAATTCATGTGACCTTGGGTTCAGCAATGATTTCTTAGATGTAACACTAAAAACATAATCAACTAAAGAAAAAATAGATAAATTAGACTTCATCAAAATTAAAAACTTTTTTGTGATTCAATAAATACCATCAAGAAAGTTAAAAGACAACCTGTTGAATGGGAGAATATGGAAATTAAATATCTGATAATATACATGCATAAAATATATAAAGAATGCTTATAATTCAATAATAAAAGGACAAATAACTCAATTAGAAATTGGCAAAAGATATGAATAGACACTTCCTAAAATAAGAATCTACAAATAGCGGTAAGTACATGAAAAGGTGCTCAATGTTGTTAGCCATTAGGGAAATGCAGATCAAAACTGTAACAAGAAACCATTTCACATCCACTAGAATGGCTGTAATCAAAAACACAGAAACAAATCCTGGTGAGGACATGGAGAAATATCAACCCACATGTACTATTAGTGGGAATGTAAAATGGTGCAGTCACCTTGAAAAAGTATGGCAGTTCCATATATGGTTAAACATAGAGTTGTCATACTACCCAGTAATTTCACTCCTAGGTATATATACCTAGAAGAAATGAAAACATATTTCCACAGAGCATCATTATTGACAATTGTCAAAAGGTAGAAACAACTCAAATGTACATCATCTGATAAATAAAAATGTGTTATATCTTTACAGTGAAATGTTATTTAGCAATAAAAAGAAATAAGTACTAATTCATACCACACAGGTAAGTCTTGAAAAATATGCTCAGTGAAAGAAGGCAGACATAACTATATATTTATAGTTCCATTTATATAAAATGTCAGAATAGAAGAATGTATAAATAGACAAGTGGTTGCCTAGGACTAGTGGTTTGGAAGAAAATGCGGAATGACTGCTTATGGGGATGGGATTTCTTTTTGGGATGATCATGAGGTTCCAAAATTGCACAACTCTGTGAATATAGTTAAAACCAGTAAACATATATTATTGACTATTCTTTTTGTATATTAAATATATTAATATATTAAAAACTATTAAATCTATAAATGGGTGAATTTTATGGCATATGAATTATTTGTCAATAAGGTTATAAAAATGGCACACCAAAGGAATCAAATTAACTAAATTAATTTGTAAATTTTTTTTTTTTTTTTTT